ACAACTACCCGTCTGCCAACGCCATTTGGCTCTACCTCGAAGACCGCTTCCTGAACAAGACTGCAATGGGAGTTGCTATACTTATCCCCAGCATGTTCCAAGTGCGGCTCAAGGACTCGCCAGGCATGGCGTACTATGTCACCAAGGTGCAGTCCATTCATGGTGAACTCAAACAGTTGGGGATAGTCTTCCCCGAGCAAGCCCCTGCAGCCGCTCTCCTAGTCGGCCTCACTCCGGCATACGAAGTCACACGCAAGATGCTCTTGGGCCTTGCTCCTACGGACCTCACATTTGCCAAGGTCTCATCCGCGCTCCTTTCTGCCGAAAAGGACAAGGGCGCTCAACCCTAGGCCAATGCAATCCACGCTCCCGTGCCTCATGCCTATGCCACTTCAGCACCATTACAGCGCAATCGCTTCCCCCCGTGTCCCTACGTCATCAAGCACGGCCCTTATGCCGGCACCAACCACGCCCTTGCCTTCTACTTTAAGAAGAAAGATGACGAGTGGTATGCCGTCAATGGGACCGCCTTGAAGCCGCCAAGCTGTGTAAGAAATAAAGTTGAAATGATTGATTAGGTAAGGAGCCCAAGGCTCTATAAGTACATGGCAAGGTGAGAGAGAATGGATGAAGGGGGAATTGGAAGAAATCCCCATTGGGATCTCCGGAATCTCCAATTGGGTAATTGGAGATTGTGGGGATCACAATTGGGTGAGGTTGGGATTTGTGAGTACACCCCAACCCACTAGAACATTCACAACTTAAACTAGGATATAAAAGTACAAATACAAAAGTGTTATTTGCAGTCTATTTCTAACACACCTCCATAGACTGCAAACCTGGTCAAGGAGCATATAGCCCCATGGAACAGAGAAGGTGATGGTGGTCAGCCTTGCCGAGAGCCTTGGTAAAGAGGTCGGCGTGGTTGCAATCTGAGGCGATGTACCGTACCGTCAGCTGGTCACTCTGAACAAGATCTCGGATGAAGAAATGACGAAGTTCAATGTGCTTGGTGCGAGAGTGGAACACATGATCCTTGGTGAGATGAATGGCACTCTGGTTGTCACACCACAGGGTGGGCGACTGCTGGGGGTAGCCTAACTCAGCGAGGAGAAAGGAGAGCCAGCGTGCCTCTTGAGCAGCCATTGTGCCCGCGTAGAGCTGGGCCTCGCAGGACGACAGGGAGACTGCAGAGGACCGAGTGGAGCGCCAGCTGATGACTCCGCTACCAAGGGTGAAGCAGTACCCTTGGGAGGAGCGTCTGTCAGTCTGGTCATCGGCCCATGAGGAGTCTGTGTATCCCTCGAGCTTGACTGGAGAGGTACCACCAAGAGTGAGGATGTGAGACTTGGTGGCTTGTAGATAGCGGAGGACCCTCTTGGCTGCAGACCAATGCGAGGCAGTGTAGCGTCCGGGGGAGACGTACCGAAAGAGGACACTAACCGGGTAGGCCAAGTCTGGTCGAGTGCACATCATGGCATACATGAGTGAACCGACTAGCTCAGGGTACGGGTCCTTGCAGGCGTCAGGAGAAGGAACTGGAGGGGCCGTGAGCTGATGCTGTAGTGGGAGTGGAGTGGAGACAGAGTTACTGGAGTCCATGTCGAACCGCTTGAGAAGGTTGTCGATGTAGGACTCCTGGGAGAGGGTGATCGTGCAAGCCTGGCGGTCACGAGTGATCTCCATCCCCAGGTAGTTCTTGAGGTCACCAAGATCCTTCATGAGAAGGGCGGAGCTGAGAGCAGACTGGACAGCTGCCATGTCGGCTGGATCTCTGGCGGCTAGAATGAAGTCGTCGACGTAGACGAGGATGTAGAAGGGCTCGGAGGAGTGACGAACGAAGAGACTGGAATCTGAGGCAGAGGGATGGAAGTCAAGTGCGAGGAGGACTTCTTTCACCTTGTTGTGCCACTCACGAGGAGCCTGCTTGAGGCCATACACTGGGCGCTTCAGCTTTCACACTGTGTTGGCAGGGTAAGTGCCAGGAAACCCCAGTGGGCATTCCATGTGAACATCCTCCTTGAGCTGGCCTTGGAGAAAGGCGGACGAGGCGTCCATGGACTTGATCTCGAAGTTGCCGCGAGCGGCTATATCAAGAAGAGCGCGCACAGTCGGGAGCTTGGCCGTGGGCGAGAATGTTTCGAAGAAGTCGAGATACTCCTTCTGGGTGAAACCCTTGATGTTGACGCGCACATCAGCAGGTGCAGCCACAGCAGCCTGCACGGATTCCTGCGCTTCGACTTGATTGACTTGGCGAGGAGCACGATTGACCATCCAGCTTGGCGGCTTTGAGGCGGTCCCATTGACGGCATACCACTCGTCATCCTTCTTATTAAAGCAGGAGGCAAGGGCGTGGTTGGTGCCGCCACACACCTGGCCGGCACGAGGGCCGCGCTTGATGACATAGGGACACGGGGGGAAGCGGTTGCACTGGAATGGCGCCGAAACGGCATTGGCTTGAGGCACGGGAGCGCGGATTGCATTGGCCTTGGCTTGAGTGCTGTTGTCCTTTTCGGCAGAAAGGAGCGCGGATGAGACCTTGGCAAATATGAGGTCTGCAGGAGCAAGGCCCAAGAGCATCTTGCGTGTGACTTCGTATGCCAGAGTGAGGCCGACTAGGAGAGCGGCTGCAGGGGCTTGCTCGGGGAAGACTATCCCCAACTGTTTGAGTTCACCATGAATGGACTGCACCTTGGTGACATAGTCCGCCATGCCTGGCGAGTCCTCGAGCCGCACTTGGAACATGCTGGGGATGAGTATAGCAACTCCCACTGCAGTCTTGTTCAGGAAGCGATCTTCGAGGTAGAGCCAAATAGCATTGGCAGACGGGTAGTTGTGGTAGGTTTCGACGAGTTCGGGAGGAGTGGTGCCCATGAAGACACTAATGACCGCACCATCGGCCTTCTCCCAATTCTTGTACTTGAGCAGTGCAGCAGCATAAACTGCTTCGGCGGCGGCATTAGCTGGATCGGCGGACCTCTCGGGTTTAGGAGGCTCTTTGCTGTCACCGATGTTGAGAAGGACGTCGGTGAACTCGAGCCCCTTCACCTCGCGACTGAGGAGGTGCTTGTGTTAGAAACTGAAAGGTTCAGTTTATTGATGAAGGAAAGGCATTACATAGGAAGAGAGAGATGAGCTAGGAAGGGAAGGTTGGAAGGGAAGGGGGGGTTAGGACCAATCACAAGGGAGGGAGGATCCTTCCAAATGTGGTTGACCACCAGTTGGAGGTGGTCCAAGTGTGGTGTACCACCAGTGGTTTAGCCAACCCACTTGTGGTGCCCCCACAATTGTGGTCCTTGTGTTTGGGGGCTCCAACCACAATTGGGATGTAAACACAATCTACACGACTAGCATAGCATGGTATATTCTAACACAACCCCATAGCATGCAAAGCTAGTGTATATGTAGGGTACAACCCCAGAATCAGGAAGGGGGGCGGGGCCCAAGGCCGAGAAGGCGGAGGAGGGCAAAGTGCGCGATCTTCGGGAGGGCCTTGGTGAAGATGTCGGCCAAGTTGGCCTCTGCAGCGATCTTGCGGACCACCAAGTGACCTTGCTGGACCAACTCTCGAACGAAGAAATAGCGGAGTTCAATGTGCTTGTAGCGGCCATGGAAGACAGGGTCCTTTGTGAGATGGATGGTGCTGGCATTGTCGCACCAGAGGGTGGGACAGCGCTGAGGAGCACCGATCTCAGCAAGGAGGAAGGTGAGCCAGCGATTCTTCTGAGCGGCCATGGTGCAAGCATAGAGCTCAGCCTCGCAGGATGAGAGGGCGATGGAGGAGGAGCGAGTGGAGCGCCAGCTGATGAGGCCGCTGCCAAGGGTGAAGCCGTAGCCTTGAGAGGAACGGCGATCCGGCTGGGAGTCAGCCCAGGAGGAGTCACTGAAGCCAGAGAGGAGGGGAGGAGAAGAGCCTCCGAGGGTGAGGACATAGTCCTTGGTACCACGGAGGTAGCGGAGGACCCGCTTCGCTGCAGCCCAGTGCTCATCAGTGTGGCGACCGGTACCGACGAATCGAGCAAGAACACTGATGGGGTAGGCAAGGTCGGGGCGGGTGCACATCATAGCGTACATCAGCGAGCCGACGAGCTCAGCGTAAGGATGGTCAGAGGAGGAGGGAGCAGGAGGAGGGGCAAGCTGGTGGTCGGTCTGCAGGGGAGTGGTAACCGGCTTGGCCTGCGCCATGTCGAACCGCTGCAAGACTTGGTCGATGTAGAAGGACTGAGAGAGGGTAATGGTGCGCGATGTGCGGTCCCGGGTGATGGTCATGCCCAGATAGTGCTTGAGCTCACCCAGGTCCTTGCACTTGAGGCGCGCATGCAGGGCGTCCTTCACTTGCTGCATGGCGGCAGCATCGTCAGCGAACAGGATCATGTCGTCGACATACACCAGGATGAAGAAGCGGGTGGGAGAGGAGCGAAGGAAAAGGCTGGCATCAGACTGAGAGGCATGGAACCCCAAGGACTGCAGAGTGGCGGCCAGCTTGTTGTGCCACTCGCGAGGAGCCTGCTTGAGGCCATAAACCGGGCGGCGCAGCTCCCAGACTGTGTTGGCAGGGAAGGCTGCATGAAAGCCTGGAGGCCGCCGCAAGAGGACCCGCTCCTGAAGCTCGCCTTGCAGGAAGGCGTTGGAGACATCCATGGAGGCAATCTCCATGCCAACGCGAACAGCATAGTCGAGGATGGCACGGAGAGTTGGGAGCTTGGCAGTGGGAGAGAATGTCTCCCAGTAGTCGATGCCATGGGTTTGGGTGAAGCCCTTGGCACAATACCGGGCCTTGTAGACCGGCTCCTCACCCGGCAGCTGCTTCACTCGGAACACCCAGAGGCCTTCAACAATGACGTCGTCAGGAGAGGGGACAATGTTAACGAATGAGGCATTGCGGATGAAGGCCTCGCATTCAGCAAAGATAGCCTGGATCCACTTGGCAGCATCGGGGCAGGTGATGGCCTCAAGGAAGTTGGACGGAGTGAATCTGGTGGGAGCGGTAGCGATGCCAAGGATAAGGAGGCCAAGGAAGCCCGGGTAGAGAGGCGTGAGGGAAGGTGTTTGTTGCTGAACGCCAATGAGCTCCTCATGGGAGTCCTCAATGAAGGGAAGGGAGGGTGGGGGTGGTGTTGGCCAACCCCATGGATGGCCTATGAGTGGGCCGTGAGAGCGAGTGTGGATGCGTGGGAGGATGAACGGAGAGGTGGTGCGGCGATGCCGATGAGGTTGCTGCAGTGGCTGCTGCTGCTGCTGCTGCTGTGGCTGCTGCTGGTGCTGCTGCTGCACCTCCTGCTGCGGCTGCTATTGCTGCACTGCCTGCGGTTGCTGCTGCTGCTCCATCCGCTGCTGCACCTCCTCCTCCTGCTGCTGCTGCTGCTGCTGCTGCTGCTGCTGCTGCTGCTCCATCCGCTGCTGCTGCTGCACCTGCTGCTGCTGCTGTTGCTGCTGCTGCTGCTGCTCCTTCTGCTGCTGCTGCTCCTTCTGCTGCTGCTGCTGCTGCTGCTGCTGCTGCTGGTGCGATGAGGCAGAGTGAGCAGGGGAGTCAGGGACAGCTGGGTCGTAAATGTCACCTGAGGAAGGAGGAGGGGGAGGAGCAGGATTTGGAGGAAGGAGGGGAGCCTGGGGAAGGAGTGGGGGAATGACAGCATCAGCCCAGGTGAGGGGGCGGGAGAGAGGAGGAAGGGGGTCGGAAGGCGGAACAGAATGATAGAACGGGATGCTCTCATCGAACACCACGTCACGGCTCTGTAGGAGGCGGCCTGAGGACGGGTGAAGGAAGAGGTAACCAGGGGCAGAGCGAGCGTGGCCAAGGTAGACACACTCAATGGCCTTGGAGGCAAGCTTTCCTGCCTGCCGAGAGCGGTCAGGTGGGGGGATGAGGACATATGCCTTGCAACCCCAGATACGGAGAATGGCAGCATCTGGCTTGGTGCTAGCCCAGAGCTCAGTGGGAGTGACAGACTGGCGTTGAGGATGTGGGTAAAGATTAGTAAGGAGAGCAGCATGGACAAGGGCTTAGCCCCAAAGAGAAGGGGGCGTGGAGGCATGAGTGAGGAGGCAGCGGGCCGTCTTGGTGATCTCACGAATGCGACTCTCAGCAACACCGTTCTGCTGAGGGGAGTGGGGAAGGGTATGAGTCTGCTGGATGCCATGGGTTGAGCAGTAGGAGGAGAGGGTGCGGTTGAGAAACTCACCACCGCCGTCGGAATGGAGGCGGCGGATGGGGCGACCAAAGTGGACTCGGCACTGCTCGGCCCAGGTAACGATGACAGCAGGGGCCTCGGCCTTCGTGTGGAGGAGGAACACCGAGGAGTACCTGCTGTGGTCGTCGACTAGGACAAGCAGGTACCGGTGCCCTTGGCGGGAAGGGGAAGGGTTAGGGCCCCAGAGGTCCATGTGGACGAGGTCAAGGGGGGCAGCAGCAAAGGAAGGATGACTGAGGTGAGGCTGTTGTTTGAGCTTTCCATGAATGCATGTGGCGCATGGGGGAGCGGAAGAGGACGGGAGGGGAGGAAGAGTGGGGGGAAGACCGTCAAGCAAGCGGGAGGAGACGGCTTTACGAAGTGTGGGAAAGTTCATATGACCAAGGCGGTGGTGGATGAGAACAGCGGGGTGGGACAGTGCGCGACAAGAGCATGGGGAGGAGGTGGAGTTGGAGGAAGGTGGCTCTAGAGGGAGGGGAGGGGGGAGAGTGGAGGTGCCTGCACGAGTGGTCACGTGGCATGAGGAGGGGCGCGGTGTGCGGAGGATGTACTGACGAGAGCGAGGGCAAAGTGGGAGGCGATGAAGGAGGCGGCGAGTGGGGCCGTGGAGGAGGTCACAGTAGGTGGCAGAGGCGGGGAAGAGGGTAGTGATGCCAGCCTGTTGGAGTTCACGAATGGAGAGCAGGTTATGACGAAGGGAGGGAATGTGGAGACCAGTGACCACTCCAGAGGGGAAGGGGGGGCAGGGGAGGGTGGAGAGATGAGTGCAAGGGATGGAGAAGCTGGAATCAGCACCATGAACGTTGGTGGGGAAAGGGAGGGAGGTGAGGGTGCCGGCGTCTTTGAGGGCAGTTTCAGTGGCACCACTATCGAGAACAAAGTCAATCGTGAGCGAGGAGGGAGCTGAAGACACGGGGTACTGGAAATCACTGGCATTAAAAACAGAGGGATACATGGAAGTGGAAGCAGGGGAAGAACGCATGAGCTCGCCTAGAAAGCTGGAGTGGGAGGCGGGAGCACTAGGGGAAGGAGAGCCCCAGAGGGGAAAGCCAGGAGGACCTGGTGTGGCTGTGGCAGCCATGGCGGCGGTGCCAAAGCCAAGCTGCTGCTGCTGCCATGCAGATGCTGCGGCTGCGGCTCCTGCAGCTGCGGCTGCAGCCTGACCACCAGAGCCCCACTGCTGCTGCTGCTGCAGCAGCTGCAGCTGCTGGAAGCGGCGAAACTGCTGCAGCTCCTGGGGAGTTATGGGGTCAGCGACAGAGGAGGAGGAGGAGGAGGAGAGCTGAAGATGAGAGGGGAGGAAAGACGGAAGAGTTTTGACATCCTGGAGCAGGTCGCGGGGGGATGGTTGGTTTGGGTGCAGCGCTCACCCGCCCTGGGACCAAAACGGCGAAGATAGGAACATGGGGGGAGAGTGCCAGGGCGGCCACCACGGCTACCAGATGAGCCACCACTGCCTCCACCACCACCACTGCTGCCACCCTCGACCCCGCCACCACCGCCGCCGGCTCCGCTGCCCCCACAACCGCCACCTCCACCCCCTCCCTGAGGGTTGGTGCGGCCGCCACGTGGGCGCCCGCCACGACGCGGCTGTGTGACTGCAAGCTGGGGGTTTTGGGACTCGGTGGAGTTCAGGCCGGAGGGGGGGGTTGAGAGAAGGCGGGCCTCAGCGTCAATGATCCATTGGACCACAGTGTCAAGGGAGGCGCGGGGCTGAGCCTCAGTGAAGGCGATGACGTGCACTTCATATTGAGGGGAGAGGCCTTCGAGGAGACGGTAGATCTGAAGGTTGGGGGGGAGAGTAGTCTGGCGAGCCTCAAGGCGGGAGGCAAGGTCCAGGAGACGGCTGGTGTAGTCAACGGCGCCAGCACTATGTTCGATCGTGATGCTGAAGTATTCCTTGAAGAGCGGTCCGACAGCATCGAAGTCGGTGCGTTCGAACATTGCCTCAAGCTCGAGCCAGATCTGGCGGGAGCCGATGCGACGTGCCTGGAAGTTGCGCATGAGCGCAGACGGGATGGCAAGGAGAAGGGCACCAGTAGCACGGCTGTCCGCCTCGAGCCAGGCGCGACGATGCTCAGCAAATCGCGCAGAGTCAGCGGCATAAGCGGCGGCGGTAGCGGCATGCTGGGTGCGGAGGGTTGCCGACCGCTCGTGTTCCTCCAACGCGATCAGGTAATCAGTATGGAGCACGAGGAACTCACGACGCTGAGTAAGGAAGAGCTGCTCAACTTCAGCGGTGGCAGCGCGAGTGCTGGTGCCAACGGGTACCATGGGGGGCGGAGGTTCCTCGCCGGGATGGGGAATGAGAGGGGGGGGATCGTCAGGGTGAGGCGGCGGGTCCCCAAGGTCACCCTCTGGGAGACCAAGCATGATGTCCAGGAGGCGGAACGGCAGGACATAAGCACTGCCGAGGACGCGGTGGAGGCTGCCGACGAAGGAATACCAGTTGGTTGCTGAGTTGTCGGCAGCGCGCACGAAATGATCGAGGGTCGAGACGTCAACGGGAGGGGGAAAGGATGCCATTGGTGACACGGAGTGGGAGGAAGGCGACGGCGGGTGGACCCGCGGTGGCCGGGAGGGAGCGGCGGCGGGTGGACCCGCGGCGGCTCAAAGAGGAGGGGAGGATGGGGATGGCTGTAGATACTGCTGCTGCTGCTGCTGCTGCTGCTGCTGCTGCTGCTCCTTCTGCTGCTGCTGCTGTTGCTGTTGCTGCTGCTGCCGCTGCTGCTGCTGCCACTGCTCCTGCTGCCGCTGTTGCTGCTGCTGCTACTGCTGCTGCTGCTGCTCCTTCAGCTGCTGCTGCTGCTGCTGCTACTGCTGCTGCTGCTGCTGCTGCTGCTGCTGAGTCTGCTGCTCCTTCTGATGCTGCTGCTGCTGCTTCTGCTGCTACTGCTACGGCTGCAGCAGTGGTAAGGCGGCGATGAGCAGGTGCAGGTGAGGAGGCAAAAGATGGGGAAAGATGGCAGCTAGCTGATGAAAATAGGACTTGGTAGAAATTTCAGTAGCACTTCGTGATCACATCCAGGAAAGTGTGCAAACTTCGGAAAGCGATATCTGACAATCCAAGCGATGAAACAGTCCGAAATTTTACGACGTTGTAGCTGACACCAAGAAAGTTCTTTTGCAAGTCAAATCACTCAATTCTGTCAACTATCGAGCGAGCTATGGCGTTTGGCGCATTGGGGGTTTTTGAAAATCCACCCAACAGAAAACTAGTTGAGAGGCGGCGGCTAGGAGTCTAGCAACGGCGATGGAGGGGACGGCAATGAGGTGCATGTTGGAAGGGGACGGGGGGGAAGCGTGGGGAAGGATCGGGATTTAAAAGTTGGTGTGAGCCATTATTGCTCTATACCATATTAGAAATAGAAAGGTTCAGTTTATTGATGAAGGAAAGGCATTACATAGGAAGAGAGAGATGAGCTAGGAAGGGAAGGTTGGAAGGGAAGGGGGGGTTAGGACCAATCACAAAGGAGGGAGGCTCCTTCCAAATGTGGTTGACCACCAGTTGGAGGTGGTCCAAGTGTGGTGTACCACCAGTGGTTTAGCCAACCCACTTGTGGTGCCCCCACAATTGTGGTCCTTGTGTTTGGGGGCTCCAACCACAATTGGGTTGGATTGACACCCCAACACAGGTGTACACCCAACTAGGGATGTAAACACAATATACACAACTAGCATAGCATGGTATACTCTAACAGCTTGTCGACACCATAGCGCCAAGCCTTGTAGTTGGAGCATGTACCGGCCGGCTCGAGACGAAGGAGCGGGATCGAGTTGGCGAGTGAAGTGGTTGAGTAAGCCATTGTCGGTGTGCAGCGCGGCACTTCTGGAAATTGGTCGACGAGAATTGCTGAAAATCACTTTGATGGCTTTATCAAAATGCCGCTAAGTAGGAAATGGCGTCGGCGAAAATTCGTTAAAACGCCGACTTGAAACTGAATCTGAGACTATGTCTAACCCCGGACCCACACACCTCCCAACACACCCCCAGGCCCTGTCCCGCAGCTACACAGCTCCGCAACAAGCTCCACTCCGCTTCAACCTGTGTACCTCCTCTTGCTTGACGCGTGGCGTTCGTGGAGGCGATTTTGCGATGGGAGTTCGCCTATTCTGGCGGGGTCTGAGGGGAAACTCGAGAACGAGTTTTAAGAGATGGTCGAAATTGAGATTCGACCAAGGAGAACCGAGGAGGAAATCGACGACGAGAAGCGTGAAAGCTTGAGAGATGAGAAATTCAACGAGGTCGAGCGCGAAGGCGGTCGACGATGAGAGGCGCGACTGCAGAGTGGAGCACGTCGAACTTCCGACGACTCGAGACGATTGACGCGACGATCAAGTGCGCGTAGCGCGGGTACGTTAAGATTAGGACCTTGATCCGCGTGTGCGGATAGGTCGCTCTGATACCATGTAAGAAATAGAGTTGAAATGATTGATTAGGTAAGGAGCCCAAGGCTCTATAAGTACATGGCAAGGTGAGAGAGAATGGATGAAGGGGGAATTGGAGAGAATCCCCATTGGGATCTCCGGAATCTCCAATTGGGTAATTGGAGATTGGGGGGATCACAATTGGGTGAGGTTGGGATTTGTGAGTACACCCCAACCCACTAGAACATTCATAACCTAAACTAGGATATAAAAGTAGTATTTGCAGTCTATTTCTAACAGATGTTTCATGCGGCAAGAGAAATCATTAGGTTAAGGAGGCTCTTGAAGGAGATCGGCCATGAACAGACTTGTGCGACACCTCTGTTCAGTGACAGCAAGGGAGCCATTGCCATGGCACGCATTGCAGTTCTTCATGGGTTGAACAAGCACATGAGGATCAAGTGGCATTGGCTGCGGAAGGAGGTGAAGCTTGGGACACTGGATCTACGTGAAATCTCAGCAACAGCCAGCCGACTTCCTTACCAAGCGGCTAGCTGAAGAGCCACACTGGCGCTGTACGAGGATGGCGGGAATGTCCTTGAACTAGAGATGGCAAAACAAGCCGACATTCTGAGGGGGAGTGTGTTGGTGCATATTCTTTTGCACATCATCATGTTGTCTGTTCGCATGATTTCGTTTGCATGTGTTTTGTGTGCTGTGTTGTTTGTGTGGTTTGTTGGGTTTGCATGTCTTTGCATGTTCATCTTGTGCCTGTGCAGATGTGCTTGGATTGTGCATGACATCGATCACATTCCAACGAGCCAAGAATTGTTGGAATCGGAGCACATGTGAAGAAGTTACGAAGAAATGTTTGATGGATTTAAGACAACTCATTGGAAGTCCTTGTCAGCTGCTACACCAAAGTTGGAGAGCCCTATAACGAGGAGGGACCAGTATGTGTGGGACTTTTGTCCTCACCTTGCAGCTGCAGCATTTGGGGGTTGGAGGCCAACCTGGCACAGTGTGAATTTTTGTCGTGCCAGGCTGGTTGAACCTGAGGATGGGGAGTCAAGACTTTGACTCTTGTCATGTTCTTGACCATGGGCCTCCAGAGTCCTTCCCTTTCATCCTTCCCTTCCTACCCCACCTTCCAACTGTGCTTCAATGCCTTTTCCATCATGCCTCTGAACTTGTAAGCTTCAATTATAGTGACTCTGAGGACTGTCAATTTCTCATAGGGCAGATTACCCCCCAGTGCGCCAAACGTCATGGCTCACTCGTTAAGCAACGGAATCGAGTGATTCAACTTTCAGTGGGAAGCTGACGCTGCAAGCTACAAAATATCCGTTGTTCAGATTGTTTCACTGATTGGAGTTTTGGATATAGCTTTTCGAAGGTCGCGAGTTTTCTAGGCGTCATAACGAAGTGCTGCAGAAATTTCCAAGGAGCAATTGAATCATCTGCTTATAGCCTTCTCTATCCAATAGTGACTGGAGCTTGTTGTTGTTTGGAAAAAGTCACTTGCAAGCTCCGCACTTGTTCCCCGCCATGCATGTTTGGATGCCGTTGGAAATCCTAGCGGCGTAAACTAGGGGCGATACCAGCATATTTGGTTGGGGTCCCATTATAAGCTCGAAACATATTGTATGTATTGTGTAGTACACTCGTCCTATCCCCAAAACAATGTGGCAATATTCCCATTGCGGCATTAAGACCCGAATGTTTTCTAGATATCGCTACAATTTGGCACAAAGCATGTGACGCAACCACTATTGTTACCGCACATTTTTACATATACATCTGCGTTCATGATTAGTGTCTTTCGTAAAAAACCATGGAACGTACATGTCACTATATAACGCACTCCAAGCACTCAGCATGGCGATCGCCTAAAGCAAGTGTATACACATGTTCGCCCGTGGGCCAGCTACGGTGCGGATCATCCGACGCTGCTAGCTGTGCAGGGTCGGAACGGTTCCGGATGAGCCGGGTGCTGCGTCTGCTGCGAGCGCGTGCCGCCACTATGCGGCCAGCCCAAGAGCACGCGACAGTTCGCCAACGCGCACGACAGACTCCAAGCCCACCCCATGCGTGTCGCCATGTGTCTGCACGCGGAAGGATGGCGTTAGGCCGAATGACATAGATAAATATCTGCGACTATAGCTGGTTATGGGAGGGCTTACCCTCCGGGCCGAAGACGGCGCACGGGCACCAGATGCAGAAGGTGAGCTGTCAACCTCAGGCCCGTCCAGTCCGGCCTCGATTGGCGCCGCCTCGTCCTGCACTACACACAAGAATGGTCGGGGTCTCTTAAACCGGGAAAAAAACAAGCGCGTGCACTATGCCAGTGGCGGCTGCGCGTATCCAATATTGTTGGCGTATGCCCACAGCCGGTCACTGTAGTTGTACTGGGACGGTTGTAGAAGGCAGAGGTCGGTTAGGGATGTCACATAAGGATAAGGATTTATTAGGCAAAAGTCGGCGATGCGCCTCATGAAGTCGGTCATCTGGCGTCGAGCCCACGCTGTCGGGCATACGTCCGGATGCATGGCCAGGATAAGCATACGGAACACGTAAGGAACGGGCTGCCCCGTGTCCAGGTTAAGCAGCCGATGCGCCTCGGCCATTGGTCGCTCGCGATGCAAGAGAGGGCTGCATCCATCTCTGCCCAGGCAGATGTTCATGCCAGATAATATGGAGAATGGGCCCAGCTCGCAGCCGTTGTCGTGTGCGATGTAGCAGTTAACTTGCATGAGGGTGTATGCCACTGTTGGCATCTGGAGCAAAGAGTGGCATATCGTAATATAGTGGCGCGGCTGGTATTCGCACATATGAGCGACTTGGTGGATAACTAAGCCAGGCATTGTGCAGTGCGCGCGGCATCTATCAAACGCCCAGAAAAACGATAGTATTCTGGCAGTGAGCAGGGGGTTTTGAGCAAAGCGCTCGTGCCTTGCTCTGGTAAACGCCACCGCCACTCTGGGCCAGCAATGGGCGTACCGATGTGCGCAGACGCCATATATGGATGAGAATCGAGGCCACGCGGGCCGAACCAATGTGGATTCGCCATGCGGCATATGAGATAGGGTGTGTGAGGCGACGTCGGGGTAGGCGTGTAACGGCAGGACACAATCGAATATGTATTTAGGAGCATGTTCATTATGTGGTCTAAAAGCTGGCGCATTGTCCTGCTTGGCGACATTGTCCAAATGTCTCTTCCTCGCAGGCAAATACTTGTAAAGTGATGACCATTCACCACTGACATAAGAAATAAGGGTAACCAAAACCAAACATCACACAGGTGACCTGCACGCTGAAACAAATACACTAAGCACACGGAAAGCAGCTACAAACCAAACACAGCCGTCAGACATAATAGCAAGGCCTCAGAGATCTATCACAATCTGGCCAGCCATGAGGGTTGTTTCTATCATGCACTCCGCCACGTCATCTAACCCCTCCATTGCCTTGTAAATGGCGTTAATCGAAGGACCGTTGTCGTTCACCACAGCGGAGTTTGCCGAGCCTGCAGGTGCCGCAGCATGCCGGCGCTTGGTCGGGGTGCAAAGAAGGCGCTCCTTGAATGCAGGGTTCGCAGTGCTCATGTAGACAGGGACGTCACCTGGCGTCATTTCGAGACAGGACACGACCCGCGTGCACACTTCGGCGATCGTGCGCAGCACCCTCCTAAGATGCCTCTGATCATCATTCGCAGGCCCCTTGCGGGGCGACGTAGGTGTGAGGCTAGAGGGCGCGTCCGTATCTCCAGTGAATTGCGTGAAGCCTTCTGGCCACTCATCGTCGTTGTCGATCCCCGCAAAGTCGACGGCCGGCATGGCGTGCCATCCCAGTCGCAGCATGTCAATATGGCACTGTAGGCACATGAGCTCCCTGACCATCGGCTCCGCCATCCACGAGGGGTTGGGCACATTGACGTTGTCCATGCGCACAACGCATGATGGCGGAATAGCGCCGGCTTGCCACCA